GTGTCAGGTAGACATACAGTTTGCACTACTCATCACACTTTGCTTGTCTTGCATATTTCAAATATTTACTTGAATTCCTGAACACCCCATTAAATGTGTCACTACCGAAACAGTGAAAAAGTAGCAATAAAGGGGGAACCGTGCACAGTAGTGATCAATTTGATTAACCTTCTGTTACATATACATTTTAGAAATGTTATTTGCATTCCAAATTATCCAAATAGTAAAACATGATTAAAAAAAAAAAAACATTTTTAATTGAATTTTGAGAAATATAATCTCTATTGTTCTCTGTAAAAAGTTCAATGTCGATTGTATGAATCTGAAACTAGCTGATTGATTGAATTACTTCTAATCATCTAATTAATTATGCTGTTAGATGTTTAAATTATCACTTTTGTCAAAATAATTTTCGGTGTCAAGTGTTAATCAAAGAGATAAATGGAGGACTCTAGATGGATATAACTCGTTTTAGTATAGACACTGCCATTGGGGGCTTCCGCCATTTAAAAGTGGTCAACTGGGTGGGGATTCCTATTGGTTGGGTGTGATCAGCCAATGATCAGAGAGCATTGTCTTCTTCAAATTTGGTTTCCTATGGTTTGTAAGACAAAGGTCATATCCATGAGCCAAGACCAAGATATATACAGGGGTGTATTCATTACGCCGATTCTGTTGCAAAATGTTTTATCTGTTTGAAACCGTTTTCTCAAAATGGACAAACGTTTTGTAACGAAAAGGAGAGTTTCTATAGGACAAATCCAGGTATATACAGCACCAGTCAAAAGTTTGGACACACCTACTCGTTCAAGGGTTTTTCTTTATGTTTTACTATTTTCTACATTGTAGAATAATAGTGAAGACATCAAAACTATGAAATAACACATATGGAATCATGTAGTAAACAAAATATATGTTATATTTGAGATTCTTCAAATAGCCACCCTTTGCCTTGATGACAGCTTTGCACACTCTTGGCATTCTCTCAACCAGCTTCGTGAGGTAGTCACCTGGAATGCATTTCAATTAACAGGTGTGCCTTGTTAAAAGTTAATGTGTGTAATTTATTTCCTTCTTAATGCGTTTGAGCCAATCATTTGTGTTGTGACAAGGTAGTGGTGGCATACAGAAGATAGCCCTTTTTGGTAAAAGACCAAGTCCATATTATGGCAAGAACAGCTCAAATAAGCAAAGAGAAACGACAGTCCATCATTGTACTCCTGAGTGGCGCAGTGGTCTAAGGCACTGCATCGCAGTGCTAACTGTGCCACTAGAGATCCTGGTTCGAATCCAGGCTCTGTCGTAGCCGGCCGCGACCGGGAGACTCATGGGCGGCGCACAATTGGCCCAGCGTCGTCCAGGGTAGGGGAGGGAATGGCCGGCAGGGATGTAGCTCAGTTGATAGAGCATGGCGTTTGCAATGCCAGGGTTGTGGGTTCGATTCCCACGGGGGGCCAGTATAAAAAAAAAGATGTATTCACTAACTGTAAGTCGCTCTGGATAAGAGCGTCTGCTAAATGACTAAAATGTAAATGTAAAATTACTTTAAGACATGAAGGTCAGTCAATACGGAACATTTCAAAAACGTTGAAAGTTTCTTCAACTGCAGTCACAAAACCATCAAGCGCCATGATGAAACTAGCTCTCATGAGGACCGCCACAGGAATGGAAGACCCAGAGTTACCTCTGCTGCAGAGGATCAGATCGGTGTGGAAGAACTTCACCGGCCTTGTACAGTACAATACAGTAGAATACAGTACAGTACAGTACATTATAGTAGAGTACAGTACAATACAGTAGAGTATAGTACATAGAGTATAGTATAGTACAGTACATTACAGTAGAGCACATTATAGACGTCTATGTTTTGGCCAAATAGATGTTGATTAGTCGGCCAATCCCATCACCTGGTGATATTTGTAGGGGTGTGGCTTAAAGTACATTCGTTCTACAGTCTCATCACATGGTGATATGTGTAGGGGTGGGGCACATTCGTTCTACAGTCTTTTAATGTGTGTGTTTCGGTAGTGACATCAACAGGTGGGACAGCATTTTATTTCCATATAGGAAATTGGGTGCAATTTGGGACGTAGCCCTTGTCATCGGGGTCTGGGGAGCATCGGCGTAGGTTGCTTAGGGACGTTCTGGATGATGAAGTTAGCTCCTCAGTCCATGAATAGAATGGTTCATTAAATCAGTAAATGTACCATAACCAAAATGAAGACTTCTTTATTTGAGTTGTACTACATCATGAGTTTTATTAAAGGTATGAAAAAAACAGTTACTTCCACTTGTATGATCTTATCAATAATATAATTATTTAATTTAGCTTTTATAAATTCATATCCCCACTTTTGAATCTTAGCCAGCCAAGTAGAAGTGATGCAGCAGACAGATTTGAAACACTGAAACTAAAAGTTTCCCTTCCACAGGGCTCCATGTGTGGTTGTTCTGTTTCCCGTCCACAGGGCTCCATGTGTGGTTGTTCTGTTTCCCTTCCACAGGGCTCCATGTGTGGTTGTTCTGTTTCCCTTCCACAGGGCTCCATGTGTGGTTGTTCTGTTTCCCTTCCACAGGGCTCCATGTGTGGTTGTTCTGTTTCCCTTCCACAGGGCTCCATGTGTGGTTGTTCTGTTTCCCTTCCACGGGGCTCCATGTGTGGTTGTTCTGTTTCCCTTCCACAGGGCTCCATGTGTGGTTTTTCTGTTTCCCTTCCACAGGGCTCCATGTGTGGTTGTTCTGTTTCCCTTCCACAGGGCTCCATGTGTGGTTGTTCTGTTTCCCTTCCACGGGGCTCCATGTGTGGTTGTTCTGTTTCCCTTCCACGGGGCTCCATGTGTGGTTGTACTGTATGTGTTCTTTGAGAATGATTGAAGCGTTGTGAAATAACTCAGTTGAGAAGAAAGTACTCGTAATAACGTATAAATATACTGATGCAACTTATCCCCCCTATCCACTATATCCCCCCTATCCACTATATCCCCCCTATCCACTATATCCCCCCTATCCACTATATCCCCCCTATCCACTATATCCCCCCTATCCACTATATCCCCCTATCCACTATATCCCCCCTATCCACTATATCCCCCCTATCCACTATATCCCCCTATCCACTATATCCCCCCTATCCACTATATCCCCCCTATCCCTATATCCCCCCTATCCACTATATCCCCCCTATCCACTATATCCCCCTATCCACTATATCCCCCTATCCACTATATCCCCCCTATCCACTATATCCCCCCTATCCACTATATCCCCCCTATCCACTATATCCCCCCTATCCACTATATCCCCCCTATCCACTATATCCCCCTATCCACTATATCCCCCCAATCCCTATATCCCCCCTATCCACTATATCCCCCCTATCCACTATATCCCCCCTATCCACTATATCCCCCTATCCACTATATCCCCCCTATCCACTATATCCCCCTATCCACTATATCCCCCTATCCACTATATCCCCCTATCCACTATATCCCCCTATCCACTATATCCCCCCTATCCACTATATCCCCCCTATCCACTATATCCCCCCTATCCCTATATCCCCCTATCCACTATATCCCCCCTATCCACTATATCCCCCCTATCCACTATATCCCCCTATCCACTATATCCCCCCTATCCACTATATCCCCCTATCCACTATATCCCCCTATCCACTATATCCCCCCTATCCACTATATCCCCCCTATCCACTATATCCCCCCTATCCACTATATCCCTCCTATCCACTATATCCCCCTATTCACTATATCCCCCCCTATCCACTATATCCCCCCTATCCACTATATCCCCCCCTATCCCTATATCCCTCTATCCACTATATCCCCCTATCCACTATATCCCCCTATCCACTATATCCCCCCTATCCACTATATCCCCCTATCCACTATATCCCCCCTATCCCTATATCACCCTATCCACTATATCCCCCTATCCCTATATCCCCCTATCCACTATATCCCCCCCCTATCCCTATATCCCCCCTATCCACTATATCACCCTATCCACTATATCCCCCTATCCCTATATCCCCCCTATCCACTATACCACCCCCCCTATCCACTATATCCCCCCTATCCACTAGGAAACTGCTCTCTTACCATGAGGTCATTGATGATATTAAAACAGTTACCGAGTTTAATGGCTGTGATGGAAAGAACTGAGGATGGATCAATAACATTGTAGTGACTCCACAATAATGACCTAAATTACAGGGTTAAAAGAGAAATACAAATATAGAGAATGTAAATATTCCAAAACATGCATCCTGTTTGCAACAAGGCACTAAAGTAATACTACTAAAAATGTGGCAAAGCAATTAACTTTTTGGCTTAGATGCAAAGTAATATATTTGGGGCAAATCCAACAACACGTCACTGAGTAACTGCTTCCTTATTTTCAAGCATGGTGGTGGCTGCATCATGGTATGGGTATGCTTGACATCGGCAAATACTGGGGAGTTTTTCAGGATAAAAAGAAACGGGATGGAGTTAAGCACAGGAAAGACCCTAAAGGAAAACCTGCTTCAGTCTGCATTACACCAGAGACTGGGAGAGGAATTCACCTTTCAGCAGGACAATAACCTACAACACAAGGAAAAAATCTACACTGGAGTTGCTTCCCAAGACGACACTGAATGTCAGTGAGTGACCAAGTTACAGTTTGGACTTAAATCTGCTTGAAAATCTATGACTTAAAATGGCTGTCTAGCCACGATCCCAAACATGTTGACAGAGCTTGAAGAATTATGAAAAGATGAATGGGCAAATATTGCACAATCACAGCTGTAATTGATGCTAAAGGTGTTTCTAACATGTATTGACTGAGGGAGCTGAGTACTTAAGCAACGACTATATTTTAGTGATTGAATTTTTTATTAATTCTTAAAATATGTTCAACATTTTCTTCCACTTTGACATTACAGAGTATTTTGTGTAGATTGTTGACAAAAAAAAAGACAATTAAATACATTTTAATCCCACTTTGTAACACAATAAAATGTGAAGAAATTCAAGGGGGCTGAATACTTTTGCAAGGCACTGTACAACAGTGGAGTCTTTCCCTACTGTGGGTCATGACCCGCTCGTTAAGAAGGTAAATCGGTTCGATTCGACCTTTTACTTTACGGTAATATTAACTGGAACAGGAACTCTGGCGCTCTGTCAAAGTGACCATCAGCAGGTTGTAAGCATCTCTAGGTAATAATGAGATACAGTTGGAGGCTGGTGATGGTGATTTAGTGATAGACTGTCAATACCCATACCTGACAGATTTCGGACACGGCCAGTGACAGTTTATTTGGTTTTGGACTTTTACTAGAATAGCAGACAGAGGCTGAATTCCACGTGGACTTCCTGTTGATCTGAGAGGATCGTGGTCATTTCTTATTCTTCCTTTGTGATTGGCTGAACCAATATGATTATTACTTGATCTTGCCATCTGATTAGCTGTGTGGAAATGTGGCCATATTGTTTCCACCTATCAGATCTACAGGGGAAGCGGCTAAGAGGTCTGTTCGGAATTCAGCCACAATGTTAGAAGCATTTTACTTCATCCACTGAGGTTTCAACACAACTGGCGATTTAGTTCAAAAAAATGTTTTACAACTTTTAATATAATAACACAGTGTTAAAGAGATGCTGTGTTACTTGGTCCACTGAGGTTTCAAGACGATGCTGGAGTAGGATCGTACGCAGGAGAAGGCGGTGAGGGAGACCTTCCTGGGGTCGATGTAGTTGTTCTCCAGACGCAGCGTCACTATGTTAATGTCCTCGTCTTTCTGGGGGTCACAGATAGCGTCCTCTGCAAACGTCCTGTAACATGTTGAAAAGTTATTGGTTATACATCATGAAGAGATTACCTATACTCTGTGTACTGGACTGGTTGTCAAGAAGAACGTCAATACTCTTGAATTGATCAATCTTGTCATGTGTTCTGTGAAGGCCTATTCAAATCATGCTCCTCTCCCAAAACTACAAACTGATCAGAAAGGGAAGGTTCAGATCTGCAAATATGGTTATATCACTTGGTTATTATAGCCCAATGATCAATCACTTGAATTTCCTTACTTCATCGTCTTGGTCCAAATAACTACAGGGTTGTCACTGCGGTCAGCGTGCTGTAGCTAGTGTGTCTATTGAAACAGCACATGGTGAAATGGTGCATCTATAAACATTTACGTCAGTGTACAGTAACAATCCCAATACCTAATTTTGTTGTCATTGAGGCGGAGGAAGTGCAGAGTGCTCATCTGGTTGATACCAGGGGGAACCGTGATCAGCTGGTTGTGGTCTAAACACAGCTCTGTCATGGAGGTGTACGTGCCCAAGAAGGACTGTGGCTCAACCCCATCCCCATCCAGCTTGTTGTAGGACAGGTACAGGTACTCTATGCCCGGCTCCATGTGGGCAAACACAAACCCTGAATTAAAACATAGAACAAGATGAACATTGTATTCCCAGAGGATAGCACTTAGAAGTATTAATTAAAACACTTGGTAAATACCTGGGATCCTCTCGATCTGGTTCCCTACCAAGACCAGGTGGACCAGAGCTCTGGGCAGGTAGGATGGGACCAGGTACAGACGGTTGTAGGATAG